GCTGTCCCTCAGCTCTTCAGCTCAAGGCTAGCGCTCTACCACTTGAGCCACAGCACCACTTCTGGCTTTTTTCCTTTTGCTTATGTGGTGCTGAGGAATCGAACCCAGGGCCTCGAGCATGCAAGGCAAGTGCTCTACCACTGAGCCATCTTCCCAGCCCTCCTGGACTTTCTTACCAGGGCTGGCTTCAAACAATCCTCAGATCTCAGCCTCCTGCATAGCTGAGATTACAGATGGGAGCCACTGGAATGCCAGTCTCTCTTCAATGACTGCCAACTTCTTTTTTTTTTTTTTTTGCCAGTCCTGGGCCTTGAACTCAGGGCCTGAGCACTGTCCCTGAACTTCTTTTGCTCAAGGCTAGACTCTACCAGTTGAGCCACAGCACTACCTCTGGCTTTTTCTGTGTATGTGGTACCGAGGAATCGAACCAGGGTTTCATGCATGCTAGGTAAGCACTCTACCACTACGCCACATTCCCAGCCCTAAGGTGTAGCCCAGGCTGGTCTCGAACTCCTGATTCCCTCATTGATTACAGGTGTGTGCCACCACAGCCAACTTCTTGATTTGCATCCCCTCCCCTTCCCCCTACTCCAATGTCTTCCACCAGCCCCGAGGAGCTCCCCCTCCCCCACCCAGAGGCGTGAGGCCTGGTCTGCAGCACAGAAGTTGCTGGACACCCCAGGACAGACCTGAAACTTCAGATGGTCTTTGCAACCTCTGCCTCAGCCTCTCTTCCCTCCTAGGCCTCATACCCAGCCCCAGGCCCAGCCACCCCATCTCCCTTGACCTCATCAGTCCCAGGCCCAAAACATTCCCTAAAGTCAGAAGAGGAATTGAAGCTGGCAAATGTCCATTAGCTATGGGAGAATGTCACTACTCTCGAGTGTGTCGGGGGAGAAGACAATGATCCCTTCCTGAGACCCCAAGACACTCAATAAAGGCTTTGGCAGCTATTTTAGAGTGCTGGGAACATTTGTAGGGGTCTTTTCAAGGGAGGGGGGAGGTTCCTAGGCCCCTAGGATTAGCTGGAGAGACTCTATGACCAGGGGACATACTCTGTGACAACTCCTTATTAAATCTATAGGCACCTGCCAGACACCGCTGGCTCACACATGTTATTCTAGCTACTCAGGAGGCTGAGATTTGAGGATCACAGTTCAAAGCCAACCTGGGCAAGGAAAGTCCAAGAGACTCTTATCTCCAATGAACCACCAGAAAACCAGAAGTGGTGCTGTGGCTCAAGTGGTAGAGCGCTAGCCTTGAGCTGAAGAGCTGAGGGACAGCGCCCAGGCCCAGAGTTCAAGCCTCACGACCCACCAAAAACAGAAAATAAAATCTGTAGGGACCTGTCATGTCCAAGGAACAGCCATACCCCTCTGGCTAGTGCCCATTGCTTGAAGATATCTCCCCCCCAGCCCCCAGTGTCCCCCTCATTCCTCTGCTCCACGTCAGGGGTGGGGGTGGGGGTGCATGGGAGAGGTCAGCATTTCCTGTCATTCTCTGCCTGCCTATCACCTTGAAGTGACACCCGCTGGGCCAGCTCCCTCCTCCACACCGGTTTCCATGGGGACAGATGTCCTTTCTGCAGATCGGACTTCACTGCAGGAGGGGCGGGGTTGGCCTGAGCACACACCCCACCCCCAATCTGTCCACCTTTCTTTCTACCAGCTGCTCCTTTCCACAGCCACGGAGTTTCATCCGCTTCCACACGAGCCTCTGGCTAGCCCAGAGGGACACTCAGGCTCAGCGGCAGAAGGGTTCCCCTGAACAAAGGCTGTGGGGATCCCTTCACCCCTTCAAGGGCCTTGATCTCTCTCCAAGCCAGCCTGGATCTCCATCCACCCAGGGGACTGACACAGGTTGGACATATTGTGCCCACCCTCTCCAGCAGGGGGTCAGGGGTCACCTTGGCTTCTCAGCTCAGCAAGAACATGGGAGAAAGACAAGAAGTCATTTATTGGCAGGCAGACAGTGGGGTGTGGGCCCTGGATCCCAGCAGAGGGGGGCAGGCAATGTATTAGGAGCCCTCAGGGGAAGGAATCTGTGTGTCCATCTGTACCCCCAAAACGCCTTCCCCAGGAGGAGCAGCTCTGCAATTGGTCTGGGGTTCCCCCCCGTCCCCCCCTGCCTGGTCAGGGGCTCTGTGTGACCACGGGGTAGAGCAGGGCCAGGTGTTCAGCGCCCTGCACGGGCAGAGGCCGCGAGCTGTAGTGCAGGACCAGCTCTGGCACGCTGGGGAACGGACCGCTGTGCTGGCCCAGCACCACCTGGTTCTCTCGTGTCCGGGTGAACTTCAGATGCAGGAACCCCTGGCTGCTCCTGGGGGTGTGGTGGGAAAGGGGGGAGGTTAGAGGAGCCCTGAGCTCCTCACACTCCCCACACGCTCTCTAGCTCCTCCTCCCTGGAAGCTTCTGGAAGCCCCTTAGCTTCCTCCTCAGTGGCAGGCCTACTCGGGCGAATTTGTCCCCTGTGCACGCAAGATCTGAGTTCCAGAACTCTCCATCCCCTTGTCGCCCTATGCCATACAAGTTTTCTTTTCTGTTTTCCATATTGGGATTTGAACTCAGGGCCTTGCACTTGGTAGGCAGGCGCTTTATAACTGGAAGCAGGCACACTCCCTCCTTTGTGCTTATTTTCTTTTTTCAGATGTAGTCCTGAGTGGTACTCACATTCCTCCCAATCTCAGCCACCTCCTGAGCTGGGATTACAGCCATGCACCACAGCATCAGGCTAGACTATTAAGGACAGAACCAGATTCCAAACTCAAATGCTTGCAGGGCTGATTCCAGGATTCCGGTTTCAAGACAGGTCCTGGTGGCTCAAACTTGTAAATCCTAGCTACTCAGGAGGCTGAGATCTGAGGATCGCCTGGACAGTAAAATCCACATGATTCTTACCTTTAATTAACCAGCAAAAAGCTGGAAGTGGGGCTGTGGCTCAAGTGGTAGAGTACTAGCTTTGAATGATAAAGGTAAAGGACAGTGTCCAAGCCCTGAGTTCAGGCCCCCCCCCGACTCAGAAAAATAAAAGGGACCTTGGACACCCAGGTCCTCTCTCATCCAAGGGCCTGGATCTCTGTGGGGCTTACACTGTCTTCTTGCATACCTACCACTAGAGGAAGCTCATTCCTAGTTGGAACCATGGAAGCCCCGCCTCTATAAACCCAGTCCCCAAGGTGCTTTGAAGCCCCACCCCTGCCCCAAGTCCCCATCTATTTGCCAAGAAGCCCCACCACTTATCTGGAAGACCCACCCATGTCTGTTGAAGCCACGCCCCCTTCCTATGGTCCTTTGGAGGGCCTCTGGTCCGCTGGGAGGCCAGATCTCACCTGAGGGACAGGGAACAGTCCTGGGGGCTGGTCTCGCTGAGCCGCACGAGGTAGCTGCCTTCCTTGCAGAGGGACAGAAGGTTCTCAGCCTCTGCCCGGCTCAGAGGGCCATGAAACCAGCTGGGGGTGAGGACAGAAGTCTCAGGAGCACACCTAGGGTCTGGCCAGGGGTATGGGAGAGGCAGGGCTTGTCCAAGCCCAGGGAAAGGAAGAGCCACCAGAGAAGGCCCTGGGATGTGTCAGAATGAGTGGGGCTGCCCCCAGGCTTAAGGGGGCTCTGAGCTCCAGGGAAGGGCAGCTGCCCTCAGGTCAAGCACACACCTGGGCCTTGACCTCGTTTATTTGATTTTTTTTTGGCTAAGGTTCTGGGATGGAACTCAGGGCCATACACACTAGGCAAGGGCTTTTTCCCTCTGCATCACATCCCAAGCACCACCGTAATCTTGGCTCACCAGCCATTCCCTGGGCACAACTACCATTCCTCACTGTAAACTTT